GGTGCTCTCTACTGGTAGCTCCAAATCCGCCCTTAGTGTCAACTTTACGTTTGTTTTCCATTATTTAAAGGCCCCAACACTATAGGTCCTAGACCTTGTTTGCATTTATGCCAAACAGCCATTCATAGCTGGAAAAGGAAGACTTTCAAGCAGAATTGCAGAAGTATAGGGAAGCCGGCAATTTACTGGGCGTAACTTTAAGACTTCGTTTCAGGTCTGTAGAACTTGTCTCGTGATTGTTTAAAGAGTGTGGGAGTTTATATATGGGTCATGGACCATAGGTCAGGTCAAAGATGGCTGCATATTGACCCTGTTATTTTCTGGCGTATTTGTCGACCAAGACACAGTCGAGGTCCATAAACACAAGAATGTAGTCAATTACCCTGCGGGAAACAGCGGGAATCCCGAATGCTGAAGCGTTTTGACTAGTGAGGCTGCTAATGCTTCTTCCAAGCGCGCGCTGTCATGCACTTACTGTGACGTGGTTTTCATGGTTAAACGCTGTTTGATGTGTACAAATAGGCGTTGTGAGGACGAGCGCACTTACAAGTTTACTCACAAGCGAAGTACATTTAAGTTGGCAAAAAAAGCTCTTGCTAAATCAGAACTTTCCCGACTAACTGAACAAGGCTTGACCTAAGAAGTTCTTGAGAATCGGGATGGGTTGTCAATTTTCGCGCACGGTTCGTGTTAATCAAAATAAACTCAAATGGTCGCAAGTTCTCGCCAGACGAAGTTCAAGGTCGAGACAAGTTTAAAACTTCTGCCCGCCTTCGACTTCGCTAGCCAGGGCTTGTAACGAACAGTCTAAAGCGGGTAGTTCATCCCTCCCAGGAAAGAAACAAATCGGCAGATAGGAAATGGGGGGACCTGTCACAGGTAAGCTGCAAATACTTGAAGCATGGTACGTCTGGTACGGAGAGCATGGCTTGGCTTTAGACTCAGGTTAGGTTCCCATTGGAAATATGTGAACTGGAATGGACTTGGGATGTCATTGCATTCAGGCTTTCCACTTCCTAGGCGCGTCTTCGCGCAACAGCTTTTATCTGTCACTTTCTTGACCCGGAAGGTTTTAAACCGGCAATTCCCATCTTACAAAGAACAAGAACCTATAAACGTTTGCCTTTTAATATCTTTATATTTTTACAAACTGAAATACTGCTAGAGCTTTGTAAAACAAGATTGTAGGAAGACGTTGTTTAAGTTGCCTCAGCAAACTGAGATCAGCTTTTCTAATGCTGTGACAAAAACCATTTGTACGTGACTTCTTTCTCCAAACGTAAAGATATGGCCAGTTAAAAGTGTCATGTAACTTTACGTAAAACGTGATACTGTTTAAATTGCTTCTTTCTAGCTATTATATATCTTAGGAAAGTTGCTGGGTTAAACTCCCGTTGTTTCACCCCATGACGTGAAACTGCAAGCGAAAACAAGAAAAGCAACCAAAAAAATTGCGCAGGTTAGTTTTTAAACAGCTCACTGTTATACAGTTTCCTCATTTTTCCATCTAATTTGGAGGAAATTGTACCTGCAAATTAGTAAAATTTGGACTGTTTGTGCTTTGTAGGATTAAAGGGTTAATCTGTTGTAAGGCTCGCTTTTCTGTTAAAGGAAAGAGAGAAGAAACAAATATTAATCGAACAGAGAAAAAAAAAGAAAGCAAGTGTGGAGGGTATCCATTGTTTTTTCAACGGATAGTTTAAAAGTGTACTGTGATGAAACATACGCCTTCCCGCCACAGTTGTTAAAAATAGAACTGGCATAAGTTGTTCAACAGATTTCTGTTGTTAATCAGCGAGGCCGGGTTGCTCAAAGCCCTAACCCAGGATTAGCGAGAGTTTTGATTTGAGTTTTGTAACTCTTCGGTAATGTTTTCTGTTGATATTGTTTTTCCTTTGGTGTTGAATTTGAATAATCTCAAACTATCAAAAACATATGCAGTGAAAAACATTTATATCCAAGAAAAATTAATACTTTGGTTAACTTCTAATCCTGAGTTAGCGTTAACCGGTTTTCAAACAACCCGGCCGGGGGTCAGTCGCTATCCAAGTGGATAGCATAAGCTTGTGTTAATTTTGAAAGAGCAGTTTTCGATAGGCCATTTCCGAATTACCTTTAACGTCTTTCTCAAAGCGAGTCTTGGCGCCCATCCTTTGACATTAAAGTGCGATTTCATTCCCATGCAAATTAAACTCATTTCCATATGGGTGGTTGTGCACCAGGCATCGCTTTGATAGAGAGGCTTAAGGCAACTCGGAAATGGGCTATTAAGTGCCTTAAAATAAAGTATAATCGTTCTGGCCAATCACAAGCGCCTTAGACAATCACGTGAACCTATCCAAACTTAAAATAAATCCATTTAAACACTGAGCTTAAAGTGCGGGGAATCACCTGCGAGCGAGTCGCAATGGGTTTTGCTTTTACATCTGATTGGATGACAAAGTGGTCCAAATTACTTAAGCAACCGCAATTTACTTTCAACACTCAAGAGATAATCGCTCTAATACTTACAGGGTTCGTACCCTTTCTCAGAAACAAATTTCCAGGGCTTTTCCAGGACTTTTCCAGGACTCAGACTGATTTTTCCAGGACTCTTAAATTCACATTAACCCTTTCACTCCCAAGATCTCAATGCTAATTCTCCTTACTGTCTGTCATACATTTCAAATTTTTTACTTGAGTTTAACAGATTTCAAGAACTTTCCAGGACCAGTAGCCTTTTTCCAGGACTTTCCAGTCCTGGAAAATGCCACAACAAAATTCCAGGACTTTCCAGGTTTTCCAGGACCCGTACGAACCCTGTACTTATCCATTGTGTAGTGATTTACCCGGTTGACAGCACTGTCCATGCTTTGAACAACCATGCAAACCCTAATATTATGTGAGTCAGCCCTTCATCACCACAAATCGAAAAGTCAGCAAATGGTTAGCACTTGCAAGGCCACCTATAAGGTCGGGTAGTATAATTTACTCTTGAACCAGGAGATCAATGAAGTCTAAGCCTGCACGAAATAACCAGGTCCAGAATAATAATAATTTTTTTTTTAAGAAAGGCTAACCCTTGAAACGTGAACTTCCTGGCTAGTTCAAGTTACCTTTGGAGTGGTTTCCTATTAAGTGTCATAAAACCAAAATCAAACCAATTACTTACCAATTAGACTACTCAGCCAATCTCAAACCGTAGTAAAACCAAATCCAAAACCAAAGTAATTGCTTGATTACTTTCAACACTTAACTGAAAACCACTCTACCAACTTACATGTGAAGGTGATAATCAACTAAGTGTAACCTTCTAAGCTTGACAGCTGGTCCATCATAAGCTGACAGTGCATAGGCATTGTGAGAAAAAAATCCCTCATCCATGAACATAATGCAACGACAATGGCCAGTAAGGAACACAGGTCTTACAGGGATAAAATAACAATGAACAAGAACACAGGAGCAGACATCATCACATTGTTCAGTTTGCAGCGAGGTAGTATTATCCTCGAATGTATGTATGCTGCACTATATACACTTGAATCCCACTATGTCAAACTCTCAGGGGAATCAAAAGTAGTTTGAAATGAAAGCGGCTTGAGTCGATATTTAATGACTGAAAAGCATATCTAAGGGAAAACAATTTGAGTCAAGATAACAGGGAATTCTAAATAACAGAGTTTCAAATAACGAGACCCAACTGAAAAAGTGTTCTCTGTCCAGCTGTAGTCATATAACATAATGTCAAGCAATTCCAATACAATTTAGCTCATTTATAGATTTACTGTGGGTAAGTTCCTTTTGGAGAGATGACAAATATCTTCCTGATCTAGTAGTATGGTCTTCTAGGGTTATTCTGAAAAAGAAGGAACAAAACATGTTAGTCAGCTGTAGTCCAATAAATAAATAGATAACAAAATACATGCATTTACAAGGTACACGGTATCAAGAGTTCACACAGAGTACAAAAGAGGCCTGCTGCTAGTAAAAAACACCTCTCAACCAGCTGTTCTGCTGGCTACTTTTAATGATTCCTTAGGAAAAGCAGGCAGAATCAACCACCCATGTCAAAACTTTGTGGTAACCCTCTGAAAACGTAGGTATCTACTGGTGGGCAATAACTATATTGATTTACTTATAGCGAGTTGCAGACAAACAGGAAAATCATGGCAATGACTTTCCTCATTTTCTTGTGATTAATTTACACAACTAAAAAAAGTGGTATTGAAACATGACTGCAAGACTGGCAAATTACAAATGCACAAGCACAGAAAAACAAATGCAGACACACAGTATTAACGCATTATGCATCATAACAAGCAGGGCAGACCACATTCACTCAGTGAGTGATCATTCACTGATTAATGCCTGCACTGTGGAAAACAGCTAGTGGACATTGGTAAATGTAACTTAATGAATTAGGACATCTAAAAAAATGAATTGACATGGCAAAACTAAAAAAACCTAAGTATGTCTTACCAAAGGATTAGGTCTAAATCTGTATGCTAACATCATTCTCTTGCGATACAAGTCAAACTCATCATCCTCTTGCTGTATTTCCCCTGGCTTCTCTTCACCCAGACCACCAATGTCATCAGGGCCACGACCCCTAGCATTGGGCAGAATGCATATACATTAAAAAAAGTATTTTTCACGATTTAATAACCCTCTTTGGGTGTAAGATTAAAAGAAAGCTTTAAGAACCAAAGTCCAATTTCAAATTTAACACTCCAAGTTGAAAATGTGTGCAAAGTATAAAAATTGTTACAATTTTAGCACAACATTTATTTCAATAATCAGGGAAATGAAACACTTTCAAGTCTCAAGTACCATTTTTACATTTCAAGGACTTTCATGGCTTGCGGGGGGGGGGGGGGTGCAGACCCTTTAAAACTTCAAATGCCCTTCTCAACACTTGTACAGGCAAAGAGGTTTCATCAGCTCTCAACTAGTCAACTATTATTATTCTACTTATTGCAAGATACAATTAGCAGAACATCTTAGCAAAAAAATATAGCATTTCAGTCATTTCATCATGGAAAAGGGTGGCCTCAAGGTTAGTGCCCTTGTCCCCAGCACTGACTGAGGACATTGTGTTGTGTTCTTGGGCAAGACACTTTACTCTCACAGTGCCTCTCTCTACCCAGGTGTATAAATGGGTACAAGTGAACTTAATGCTGGAAGTAACTCTGCAATGGACTAGCATCCCATTCAGGGGGGAGTAGAAATACTTCTAGTCACTTCATGCTACGGAAACCAGTAATAAGCGCCAGATGGGCCACTTGGCTCCTATGCAGACTTTTTTAAAATTTCATTCATCATGTTCATACTTGTTCACAGGTGCTGTAATCCCTTGTCCTTGAGATCCGAGTCCCATTCCTTCTTGCCAGCCAGCCTGTTGAAGCATCTTATATCCAATGTTGTCCTCTTTTATCTTGTGCTCAGCATAGTCAGAGAAATCAAAGCTGTCCAAAGAAGACTCGCCTTTTACAGCTTTAACCTTTGCTGTAAATTTCTTCAGTTCTTCCGGAGGGAGGAAGTCGCCGATATGATGTTTCCCTTTACCTTTTTGAGTGAGTTCTACTGCTTTTTCTGTGAAAAAGACAACTGACAGATAAATAACTGAAATTCTGCAAGAAATTGAAATAAGATATTTTTTCTTCTAATTTCACTCATGATCTTCTTATGGGTATTCTGGGTCAGAACTAGCCAGTAAATGTTGCACAAGGATGTTGCAGCTATGGATAGGGGTAGGTTTATATTTAACATCTTAATTTTCATGCTTCTGTGGGTGTAGGGAGGAGATTATAGGAGGGGGCACACAATGGAAGAAAATGTCAACAAGGAAGATGATCAGAGAGATCACCTTGTGTGATCATCCAGGTGAGGGTAGTTCTGAAAAGAACTGTTGTTTCTGACTGACATTTCAACAACCTGAGCAGAAGTCATCTTCGGAGTCAAGTGAATGGTGTCAGTAAGTGAATGATGTTATACATGCAAGTCTGGTCTGTTGAAAATGACTGGTCTATTTAGCCATGATGGTATTTGCTGAAAGACTTGTGTGAAGTTTGTCAGCAGTCATTGGTTGGTTCTAGTAAGTTTCCAGCCGTCTATTGTTAGTCAAATTAAGTCAGTCTGTATGAGGTCCGTCTAATTGTAAGTCAAATTATATCCTTCTGTTTAAAGTCTGTTTGTCTGTTTTTTTTTTTTTTATTTCCTGAATAAGTCATTTGTAAGGTGCTGGTAGTTGTTGACGTCTGCTAAGAGGTGTTTGTTCTAAGTTAGTGTACCAGTTTGTCCATACGTTGAAAATAGTTTGCACCTTTGACTGTAGGTTAAGCATTGAGGAGAGTTCCAATCAATTCTGTGGTTCAGTAGTTGATGATGTACAGCAATGAGAATTATACTAGGGCCGCGAAGTGG